GAGTCTTGGATCCTGGGTCGTCTCTGGTCTGCAAACTGCAGGATGAAGCTGTCTGCTCCTTGTCCGTTCTTACTGGTATTGAGTAGAATCCGCTCGCCCGCTGCGTCTGGCTCCTTCGTCCCGGACTCTCTGTGTGAGCGCTCAGGTATCGCCCGGCTGCTGTCTCCACCGCGACCCTGCTGCCGCCGCCGCCGCCGGCGGCGGCTGCTGGCTAGCGATCACATGTGTCTTCTTGCCTTGGTCTCCCTCTCCTATCTAACTCTCTGTCCTGTGATAGCACACTTGGTGTGTTTCTCTGGCTTGGGACTGTTCACTGGAACTCTAAAACTGCTTTCTATGCGAGAGCTTGTTCAGATTCCAGCTTCTCCTCCGCCATCTTGTCTTAGACTGAGCTTTTAATATTTTTTAGAGGGCTAGTTTGTTGGACATAAATTGTTTCAAGTTTTCTGTGTTATGGAATATATCAATTTGTCCTAGAATTATGAAGGAGAGCTTTGCTAAGTTCACTATTCTTGGTTGATAATTTCTTGATTTTATGGTTTGGAACACAACATTCCTTACTCTTCTTGTTTTTGTGTTCTCAGCAGAGAAGTTTGTGCTTATTCAGATAGGTTTTCCTTTATAAGTAATCAATCATCTCTCACTGACACATTTTAGGATCCTTTCTTGGGTCTCTACTGATCCTGTATGAATTGTAATTTGGCTATTTTTTTATTCTATTCCAATCCAGCCTTTTGGGTGTCCTAAATGTTTCTTGTATCTGAATAGGACTTTCTTTTCGGATATTTGGGAGGTTCTCTGCTAAGATTCTGTGAACTATATTTCCTATCCCCTTGTCTATCTGCTCTTCCCCCTTGTATTGTGTATTGTTATTCCTGAAAATGGCTTGTTTCTTATATTTTTTTCTGCATAATAACTTCCTGGCATGCCACTTAATCTGTTCTATCTTCCAGATCTGAGACTCTGTCTTTTGTTTCATCTATTCTGGTACAGAATCTTTTCCTTTTCTAGTTTAATTCTCTGTTTTCTGTTTGGTCATTTCAGAGGGTTTTTACTTCTTACTAGAATTCTTGTTTTAGGCTATGTAAAGACCTCTTTACATCACAAATTTATTTGCATTTTCCTTAGTCTCCTTTAGTCATCTTGGTTCAGGGTTTGTAGAGATCATTGAGGGTTAATGTGGGTTCTGATGCGCTGTGCAATTGTACTATTTAATTTTGATTGTCAGATGAATGTATTGATCTTGTGAGGTTAAGGTTAGAATGGAGAAGGTTAGTTTTCAGGAGAATATTTTTTTGAGATTGGTACACGTTTTCAAGGAATTAGAGGAGAAAATAAGCAGGAGACAAGAATGAGTGTGGTGAAGGATATAAGTGAGGGAGAGGAAGGAAGAGAAGAAGAAATGGAAGGGAAAGAGAAAAGAAGAAACAAACATATTGAGCAAGAAGTCAGGTAAAGAAAAGTTGGATTAAGCTCTCTGAAGCCTAATGATGCCTTCTCTAAAAGGCCCAAGGTCATTGCTGTCTCCTGTCAGAGTTCAGCTCTACTTACAAAGAAAGAAAGGCCATATAAAGAAGAATAGGTTATTATATAGGTGTACTTTGCAAACAACAGACCATATTTCAAATCATCATATCTGTAGACCCAAAGCATTCAAATTGGATATTCATGTTCTCTGAAGAGTGAGGAAGGGAAACAGGGAAAAAGAAAAACATTCTCTGCTCAGAGATAAGGGCGGTACTGCATTGCAGTTTCTATAGGAATGGCTGAGTTAGGACACCTTTGGTGGAAGATCCTGAGTTCCCAGTGGTAACTTGACTCTGGTTGCTCCTAGAACTCTATGCAGCTGTTCCCATAAGAGATGCTTGGATGGGAAATGTAGTGGGAGATATCGTAGTTGTCACCATTTTTCCTGTGTTGTGGTGAGTCCTGGTGCTGTTTTTGTGGTGTCTCCCTGGATGCATGTGTTCCCTAGGGTGTTGGTGTCCTCACGGTGGAGTTTGGGGAGAGTTGGGAATTGTCCTTTGCTAGTACATGGGTGGGTCCTGGTTTGTCTTCCCAGGTGCTCCCTTGGCTATATGCGGGAGTATGGAGGAGAGTTGGAAGTTTTAGTTTGCTGGCGGAGGAGGAGAGCTGTATCTCTTGAGACTTGTCACTGTAGCTCCAGATGATGTGGATGTGGATCTTTTTCCTCTTCAAATATGTTGTTGCCCTCTTCAGCTGGGGGTTCAGTCAGGGCACTTTGGGTCACCGAAGGAAGCTGGTCCTTCAAGGCAAGGTTATGGGTTGGGTACTCACAGATTCTGGAGCCTGTGCTGAGTGGGCTAGGGAAGTCTTGGTGAGGGACCTCTTTGTCTGGATGTGTCCAGGTCAACCTCCTCTTTCTGGTTTCCTCCCCTCTCTCCAGTCCTGTGGTGTGTCTCTCCTCTTCTGAGTCTCCCTGAGCTGCATGGAGTGGCATGGGGCCTAGGCTGTCTGCTAAGAGTGAGTATGCATACTAGCTTGCTGTTTTCTGCTTTTGCATTTATGCAGTGAGATATTGCATTAGAATTACTTTCTGTTTAAAGTTTGATTGGTGTGGATCTCTTGTGGAAAAATGTGTGGTAGGACCTTAAATATCTATTTGGTCAGTGATATCTAAGGAGTTTACCTGTGATGATGCCACCATCTTATTAGAAGTATCAGGTCTGTTTTTGATATGCGTCATTAGGGTATTGACCTGAGATTTTTCTAATTTGTTGATGCAAGCAATCATGGACATGAACATGGTCCCCATCCAGTTGGTATTTCATGTTTTTATTTACATTGAATCCTAAAAATGATCACATATCCTATCTAATTTCTTCAAAGTCTTACTGATTACTCAGTAATGAATTGTTCACTTTCTATGAGTTTGAGTATTTTCTGTGAAGGGTTTTCCTGTTGAACTCTACTTTTATTGTATTGCCAGGGAACAAGATATATATATATATATATATATATATATATATATATGTAGATAGATAGATACAGATATATATGTGTGTGTGTATTTATTATTTATTATAAATACAATAAACACACACACATTCTTGTATCTTTTTCTTGCTCATTAACAGTTCTGCCTTTTGGACTGGAAAATTACTTAAATATTACTTGTAGGAGATGTCTCCTGGAAATATATTCTCTTAACTATACTTGTCTGGGGAGATTATTATTCCACCTTCATTACTAAACGATATCTTTCTCCCTAAAATACTTCTGGTGGATAATTTTTATATTTTTATAGTCAATATTGTAAAGATACCCTGACATCTTCTCCTGACTCTTGTGGATTCTACTGAGGAGTCTGTGGTTCAGGAAACAAAGACACAGCTATGTGTTATGGGTCTAAATTCTCTTCTAGACAAGAGAATCTACCCTGTATAAGTATTTCACTTGTGAGAGCTTGATCATAAAGCAGCCTGATGTAGATGTCATGATCAGAAATTTGTTTATCCTTTAATTTTTAGGTAACTTACATCCTATCCTTGTCTATGCTAGGAATTTTAAATTCTGTCACTACTTATTAGAACAGGCATTTAAAATTTTGGGCATTCCCAACCATTTGCTGAATGCCAAAAACACTATTATTTGCTTTTTGGAAAATGCTTTGTCAACTTTTACAACTCTTTTTCACACATTTTTGCTCTTATAGTTTACATTTCTATATGAATATATTCAATCAATTTTTCTTCATGCTCACTATTTTCTTCTGCTTAGAAGATTTCACTAAATTTGATAGGCTTTCATTATCATTGTTTCTCATATACTTACACCATATGTTGAACAAATTAATCCTTTTATTTGTGTTTCCATCATGCCTTCATTGTTTCATTTTAAAACAATGCCTGTTTATTTCATCATATGAATTCCTTTAGAATAGGAACATGCACAAACACATCATTGCACACAGGACAGAGAGAAAGAAACTAAAATACTGTGATCCTCTGTCTTCCATTCTATTGGTTTATTTTTCATATTTCAAACTAACTATTTTAGCAAGAGAGTAGTCATCACTACATTTTACCATGGTAAAATGGAACTGGGATTTCAATGTAAAGCCTTCCTTACATTTCTCTTCTCCTCCACTGTATTTGCGGTTCCTTTCTCCATAATGACTTCATTGGAGTTGGATGCATCTCTTTAATTTTGGTACATAAATAAAAATAAAATTGCCTCACCTTATATTTGAGCTCTTCTTCTGGTTGATATTGCAGGAGGAGATGTTCAATATGTTCGGTCTGTAAGCAGAGATTGCTGTAGAATCTTTCATATTTAACACTTTGTTTCTGAAAGCTGCTCATAAATTGAACATTTGTTAGTTAGACTGGCCTGCCACACAAGCACATAATATAAACTAGGTGACTAAAGTAGACTTATTTTTTATGCAGATGAACTTAGTTACCCTAAGATAAAGGCAAGAGATTGTTTGCTGTCTGATGAAAACCTAAAACAATGGTCAACAGCTGTTTCTTGAGGTGCATGTGGTAGTGGGGAAATCGCTCTCTCTCACTTTCTCTCTTTCTTTTTTTATTGTGAAAATACTGTACAGAGGGGTTACAATTACATGGGCAAGATAATGAATACATTTCTTATCAAGCATTGTAGCCTCCTCCTTTGTTTCCCCTTCCCATCCCTTCCCATCCTCCCCCTCCCCCACACCCAAATCTCCCTACCCCCCATCGCACAAAAGTTGTAAAGTTCATTTTCGACATAACGACTTGTACATCTCATTGTTGCAATGGGTCCACCTGTATCCCTATATAAACGATTTGTTTTTCCCCTTCCCCTCCACAAATTATACCAACATCAAATACAGTGAAAGAAGGGGTTATACTGTGGAGGAGGGACATGCAAAGCAACAAGGAAATATTCTTATATTCTTATAAATATATTCTTATAAATTGTTAGAAACAATCGCATGACAGAAAAAAACATTTGAATACATATCTTAGGGTTTATTTCCCTAAAATCACCTTATCTGACCTTTTCTGCTTGACTCAGACATATACTAGATATTGCAAATAAGGGAACCATGGGACCTATGTTTCTTTGGGCCTGGCTTACTTCACTTAATATAATTTTTTCCAAGCCTTTCCATTTCCTAACAAATGGGGCAATGTCATTCTTTCTGATGGAGGCATAAAATTCCATTGTGTATATATACCACATTTTCTTGATCCACTCATCTACTGAGGGGCATCTGGGTTGGTTCCATATCTTAGCTATGGCAAATAATGCTGCAATAAACATAGTTGTGCTGGTAGCTTTAGTGTGGTCTTGTTTGTGATCATTTGGGTAAATGCCCAAGAGTGGGATTGCTGGGTCATAGGGCAGCTCTATGTGGAGTCTTTTGAGGAACCTCCATACTGCTTTCCAAAGTGGTTGAACAAGTTTACACTCCTACCAACAATGCAGTAAGGTTCCCTTCTGTCCACATCCCCTTCCACATCTGTTCTTATTAGAGTTCTTCATTTTTGCCATTCTACCTGGAGTGAGGTGGTATCTCAATGTTGTTTTGATTTGCATTTCTTTTATCTCGAAGTATTGGCCATCCTTCTTTCTTCTTCAGAGAAGTTTCTCTTTAAGTCTTTAGCCAACTTATTTATCGGGAAGTTGTTTCTTTGAGGATTTGTTGTTGGGGGATTTAATTTTTTGAGTTCCAGGTATATTTTAGATATGAGAACCATGTCCGTTGCATGGCTAGTGAAGATCTTCTCCCAATCCGTGGGCTTTCTATTGATCTTGCTAGCTATGTCCTTTGCCATGCAGAAGCTCTGCAATTTCATGCAATCCCATTTGTCCAACCTTTCTTTGATTTGTTGTGTTTCTGGGTCTCTATTAAGAAAATTTCGGCCTGTTCCAAGGAGACAGGAGACCTAAAGTTTCTCCTATTCCATCCTGTAATGTTTTCAGAGTGTCTGCTTTGACTCCAAGGTCTTTCTTTTTCTGTCTCTCTCTCTCATCTTAAATAAATTTCTGAATCTCATTCATGACAAATTCCCTTCACGTTCGTTCTTATTTCTATATACATGCATAAGACAATACATTCATATTCCATCACAATTGATAATGTTTTAACATACTCATGGGACAAATAAACAAGGATTCAATCTAGAAAAATCATAAGTTTTGAAATACTCCTACTCAATTTCTATCCTCTTTATGTAGGACCTTCAAGAACTATCCATTTGTTTTGGCCATGGCTTTTGCTATTGAGATCAACAAAAACCCTGATCTTTTGCATAACTTGACTCTCGGACTTGATATCTATGTGTTCACTTCAGAGCTTGGACAATGCTTAAGAATCCCTTCATTTGGCTCTTTGGAAAATACAAGATTCCAAACTACTCCTGTATGAGAGACAGGATGTCTATGGCAGTACTTACAGCACCATCAGGAATAACATCTGACCAGATTGGGACATTGCTGGGACTCTACAGATTTCCACAGGTGTTGGTGGGAGGTGTTAAATGATACAAAAATGTCTAATTTGGTGGCATTTCAGGTGTTAGAAGAGAATAAAAAAAGAAGAGAATGGTAGGAAGAGACTGGATTTATAAACCTATCAAATGTTGTGGTACTGAAGAGTAAGTACTTAAAGATGGTGGAATATATATTCCACTGTTTGGAAAAGGAGATGGAAAAGTTCAAGCAGATAAATGGATAATTTATTGATTCAGGCCTTTAATAAATTACAAAGTGAAAAATGACTTTGCAGTGTGAAGATATGTTGAGCAGTGTACTGATGGCTCACACTTGTAATACAGGTTGCTCAGAAAGCTAGTATCTCCAATTAACCAGTAAAATCACAAAGTGAATGTGTGACTCAAATAGTAGAGCACCAGTCTTTGGGGGAAAAGCCAAGGAATTGCAAGAGGCCATGAGTTTATGTACCTGTAATTGTATGTACAAACACATACACACACACATACACACAAACACAAACACACACGCACACACACATGGAAAATGTGTTAAATGAAGAAAGTCAGCATCAGAACAAGAAAGGATAAATGAGTTCTCTCATATGTGAAAGTTAGATCCACAATATGAATATGTAATATGAAATAAATATGGAACACACATAGTTATTTACATAAATACATGATCTATATGGTATAATGAGGCATGGAACTCCATTGTTTAACTTTTCTGATCTACTCACAGTATATAAAAGAACACCAGAAGGCTGAAGCATGCCTTGTCTGACTGGAGTAGATATTTAGGGGAAAAGTCAGATGAATACCAAATGGACAGGTGGGGAAAAACAACATAATATTCAATGTACATATGTGGAAATGGAATTAGGAAAGCTATGGAGTGGGTAGAGTTGATATAAATGGGAAGAATTCTTGGAAATAGTGACAAAGAGCAAGACACATTTTACAAATAAATCAATATGTTGTACAACTATTTGAAAATGATTAAAATATCATTTCAAAAATAAAAACTTACCTTCCACCTACTTCAGCTGGTTCTTAACATACTTCAAGAGTGAGATTGTGACTCATGTAGTTGTATCCCCTCTATACAATAAAATTAAAAATTAAAAAGCCAGGAAAAACAAAAGAGTCAGATTGTGATTGATGACAATCTTCTCATTCATGGAGCATCCAATTTTTTTCCCTTTAGTTTACCTTTGAGCCTTTTGATCATGCCCTGAATGATCATAACAAATTTTCTGCTCTCTATCAGATGGCTCCAAAGGACACATCAATAGCCAATGCCATGGTCTCTTTTCTGTTTCACTTCAGCTGGAACTGGGTGGGACTGTTGACCTCACAAGATGAGAATGGTGCATGGGTTCTTGCTGAATTAAAAGAAGAGAAGGTCAAGAAAAGAGTTTGTGTAGACTATGAGATAGTGATCTCAAGCCAATCCACTTCACATATATTCAAACTCATGGCAGTTTATAACAAGATCAACAAATCTTCAGCAAATGTCCTCATCATATATGGTAACAATGGTTCATTAATAACTATAATAGTGTGTCTTGAGCAAATTTTAATACAAGGCAAAGTTTGTGTCATGAATTCACAGTGGGATTTCACCATGAGAATGAGATATTTCACTCTAGGCTCATTGAATGTACCTCTTATTTTTACACAGCATCATGTATATGTTTCTAGATTCACAGATTTTATCAAGGCAGTAAACCCTTCCAAATACCCAGAAGACATTTTTCTTGCTAGGCTGTGGTTTCTGTCTTTTAATTGTTCAGGTCTGAGTCTGACTTTGTAACATGGGACAACTGTCCTCATGACGCCTCTTTGAATTGGTTGCCTAGGCATATTTTTGACATGACTATGTCTGGACACAGTTACAATATATACAATGCTGTGTATGCTGTGGCCCAGGGCTCTCCATGAGATGCTTCTTCAACAAACAGAATTCAAACAGTGGGAAATAGGAAAGGAACAGTGCTTTTCCCTGCAAAGGTAATTTCTTCTATGTTGGAGAGCCCACACGATGAGCAAAGGCTAGAGGGGTTTCTTATTGTATGAATTTCAATATTTCTGGATGTATGCATGTATGTTTATGTATATATACACATATGTATATGTACACACATTTATATAACTGTATTCATAGGTCATACATACCTTGGATTCTGATATTAATGAATTATATTTCAGTATATGAAGTAATTTGCTCAAAACCTACTGTAAATACAAAATTGAGTAAACATAGATTAACGCTTAAAAATTAAATATATCAGGTGCTTTTGAGGCCCAAAAAATTCTTTATGTTGCAGTGTCTGTTAGGTACTCTAGACCAAATGCATATGCTCTTAAGTAAACACCAGGTCAGGAACAGGGATACAATATATTCCATGTTTCTATAAGTTATGTTTTTGCAAGTTCAAGGGCTTAAACTCAGGACCTGGGCTGACTCTCTTTGTGCTCAAGGATTGCATTCAACCACTTAAGCACAGCACTGCTTCTAGATTTTTCTGAGTAGTTTATTGGAAACAAAGCTCTCACAGACTTTTCTTCCCAGCCTGGCTTTGAAGCATGATCCCCTGATCTGGATCTCTGGTATAGATAAGAATACATTCATGAGTCACCGGCACCTTGCTTATAAATTTCATTAGTTTCCAATAACTTCAACATGTTCATAGCTAATGTTTTGAAAACTAAATTCAGCTTTTCTTCAATCATAGCAAGATATGATCTACTGAACAGAATTGTCCATATTTTTCATAAGTGACCTGGGTTCATTCAACTTTTGGTATTAAAATTTAGTAAGTCAAACTACTAACATTCACAAAATAGTGATTTGGCAAGCTGTAGCAAAATGGTTTCTCTTGAAAAAAGGCCTTCTACTCCTTTTCTGACAGATAAGGTTATTTTTCAGAAAGATTATTTTTATTCTGCCATAGATTTTCTTCTGGGGGATATTTCATTAGGTGTCTGTGATATTCTTGAATTCAGATTTAGAGATTAAAGGCAATCAGAAGCTTTTCTTACTTCACATTTTCTGTCTTAAATCTGGGAATGTACCTCACCATAAGAAAATATCTCCCTTATAGCTGCACTCTTTTCTGAAGAACATCCAGTTTTACAGTTCTACTGGAGACCAAGTGATTTGGGATAAGAAAAGGAAATTGGAGCCAGAGTATGATATTCTGAACATTTGGGATTTTCCATCAGGTCTTGAACTTGCAGTGAAAATAGGAATGTTTTCTCCATATGCTCCACATGGCAATCGACTGTCTTTATCTGAAGATTTGATAGAGTGGGTCATTCAAACTACAGAGGTGGGTTGGATCTAATCCTAATAATTTTGAGGACACACAAGTCAGCAAAAGTCACCTTTTAAATGCATACCTGGCTGAGTGTCAGCAACGTTCTCTCATAATCCTAGTTACTCAGTGAGCTGAGTTCTGAATATCATAGTTTAAAATAATCTCACCCAGGAAAGTCTCTGAGACAATTATCTCCAATTAACCACCAAAAATCTGGAAGTAAAGCTCTGACTCAAGTAGTACTGTGCTAAACTTGAGCAAAAACACCAATTCCAGTGCCCAGATCTTGAGTTATAACCCAAAGATCAGATCTGAAACAAGTAAATATGTTTCTAAATATTGATTTAGAATATTGTCGTAAGATATAAACTATATATTTCTCAGTAGATTTCTAACACTGTGATAAAGTACCTGATGAGTTGCTCCCTTCTATAGAAATTCATTCAATGGTTAATTGACCTGCTACTTAACAGGCTATGGTGAAAGGAATCTTTGAAGGCACCTGTGAGAAGATTCTCACATCATGGACACTGGAAAGGGAACAGAAAGATACAATAGTCCTGTGGTTTACATAACCCTATAAAGTGGAGGTCTTCCTCCTTACCCTTCCCCATGTAACAGAAGATATGTATAAGACAACATATATGACACAAATTAAAGTAAATCCTATAGGGCTGTATACTAGGAATTACTTTCTCACCACTAGTTTCTACCTTTTAAAGATCTCATACATTTCAATAACTGAACAGGCTAGAAATCAAGGTTGTAGCATATAAGGTTTTGGAAATCATAGCTGTAACAAATCATAGCTGTAACAAAAATCAATTACTCCACTACACTCATCTGCATAGAAACATTATGCTTAATAATCCATTATTTAAAGCAATGGTCTTTTTGGACTGTTAGCTATAAGTCTGAAGAGTTACTAAACATCTCTGATTTTCCTCAGACTCCTCACTCTATCTGCAGTGAGAATTGTGGGACTGGATTCAGGAAATCTCCTCAGGAAGGAAAGGCTGCCTGTTGTTTTGATTGTACCCCTTGCCCAGAGAATGAGATTGCTAATGGGACAGGTAATTCTGTGACTAATGAAGAAATTCTTCAACCCACCCTAGTTGTCTTCAACCCAAACAAACAATGCAAAAATTGTTTATTAGGATTACAGAGCCCCTCTTCCTTCTATCTATTAATAAATTAATTTTGAAAAATACAGGTATTGCTAATTACAATATGATAGATCATGCCTTTGAATTGCCTATTTAGTAATTTTTAGTCTATTGCAGTCAAAATTTTCTCCAGGAATCCTTCTTATCACTGAACATTAGGGCAAGTAAACTCTAACATGAAATTTAAAAAAGTCTTATTAAGGACAGTTTTGATCTTAAAAGTTACATTTAACCCCCACAAAAAATATGGATCTTGTATACCATTGTTTGACAGTTCCCAGAACTGTTATTAGCACAGGGCAAGGTCTCAGAAAGGTGGATTCAGTATGAGAAGTGAGCATGACCATTGAGTGCCCAAGAATGGTCACTCTATTCCTACAGTTGCAGAGGTGAGTAGGCCACACAAACTTAAGGAGATGAATTCAAGTATGCCATAGGATAAAATTAATGTTTTTATATACACCTGTATAATTACAAATTTAAATATGATTTGAAAAACAGTTAATGAGAGTGAACAAAACTGTAGAAAATATATTAGGTTTTACAATGCCTCAACTATTACATTATCAATAGGTTTGATAGTCACAGAAGGAAAACACTTGAATAAAAAAGCCTGAAGAAGTTGGAAATAGGAGGTGGTTATGGTTTGGTAAAGAAAAATACTTTTATGATAGTAAGTACTGACATCTTAGGATTATACCTAAGTAAATAATTTCCTAAAGTCTTTGAAGAAAAAGAAGTTCATAAAAAAACTAATGGAAGTGTATACTTTCCACCAGAAATGCAGCAATGTATGAAGTGTCCAGAACATAAGTATGCCAACACACACAGGATTCAATGCCTCCTGAGAGCTGTAAGTTTCCTGGCCTTTGGAGATCCCTTGGGCATGGCTCTGGCCTGTTTGTCTATGCTAACTGCTGTTGTTCTTGGGATGTTTGTGAAACATCAAGACACTGCCATTGTCAAGGCCAATAACCAGACTCTCAGCTACATCTTGCTCATCTCCCTCATCTTCTGTTTCCTCTGTTCCTTGCTCTTTCTTGGACATCCCAACAGTCACCTGCATCCTACAGCAGGTCACTTTTGGGATTGTGTTCACTGTGGCTGTATCCACAGTGTTGGCCAAAACAGTGACTGTGGCTCTGGCCTTCAAGGCCACTTCTCCAGGGAGAAGGATGAGGTGGCTGCTGGTATCAGGGGCTCCTAACCTCATCATCCTCCTCTGCACCTTTGTCCAGGTGACTCTCTGTGGACTCTGGCTGGCAAACTCCCTTCCCTTTGTGGACACAGATGCGCAGTTTGAACATGGCCACATCATCATCCTGTGCAACATGGGCTCCCTCACTGCCTTCTACTGTGTCCTGGGATACCTGGGATCCCTGGCCATGACCAGCTTCACTGTGGCTTTTCTGGCCAGGAACCTGCCTGACACCTTCAATGAAGCCAAGTTCCTGACCTTCAGCATGCTGGTGTTCTGCAGTGTGTGGCTCACCTTCCTGACTGTCTACCACAGTGCCCAGGGGAAGGTCATGGTGACTGTGGAGGTCTTCTCCATCTTGGCCTCTGGGGCAGGGGTTCTAGGCTGCATTTTTGCCCCCAAATGTTACATCTTGTTAGTGCCCAATAGAAATTCTCTGCATGGTTTCAGGGATAAAATTCATAGTAGGAGACATTAGCTTTCTTATGATTAAACTCCTGTTTCATTAGTATACAGGAGGTCTGGTCTAAATCTACAGTAATTTTCCATTGTTCTATTAATGTGTATTGTGGAATTTTTACTTCAATGAATGAGGATCTATTGCCCATGTTTCTGCTAATGGAAGTGACAAATGGTGGGGATCACCATTTCAATTCGAATTTTTCTTGTATAGTTTTGGTTCCTTCTATTCCTCATATTTGATTCCTCCTTCTCCCTTCTCAGTTTCTTTCACTGTTGTGTTTTGCAATCATGTTCCCAAATTTTCAACTATACTGACTTTGTTTATTCACACTAATATGTTGAATAATCCTCTAATACTTTTTATTGAGCTTTTCTTCTCATAAAGTTTCACCTTTTAATATGATCCTTAGAAATTGTTTTGTTCAATACTTGTATATTTCTATTCACACATTCACCTTTTTCAATAATCCTGAGTCTCTTTTGTGGCACTCTTCTCATTGTCTCTGTCTCTCTTTCTCTTTGCCACTCTCCATCTCCTCTATCTTCCTCCTCCCTCTCATGCTTCTTTCTTTTTATCAAATTATATTTTACTGTAAAAATGCTGAACAGAGGTATTACCATTATATGAGTAATGCAATGAGTACATTACTTGTCGATCATTGTTACCCCTTCCCTTGTTGTTGTCCCACAATCCCTTCCCTCCCCCACCTCCCACACTCCTCTCACCCCACCCTACCCCACCTGACTGGAAGTTTATGTCTATGACAGGATGAAGAGGTCAAAAGCTATGTACATATGACCATATAAGCTGATGCAAAGCAAAATGAACCCTAATATAGGACACAAGATTTTTTATCTTTCCTGCTGTTGTTTTTATTGTACTTATAATGTACTATGTGATTTTTTGTTTCTTTGTATGTTCTTCCCAAATGTATAATCCCTGTTGTCACTGTATTTGATTCTGGTGTCCTTTATCTTGTATATACATTTTTATAATTTGGGGAGGGAAAGTGAAATAACCAAATGTATTTTTATCTTTCCTGCTGTTGTTTTTATTGTACTTATAATGTACTATGTGATTTTTTGTTTCTTTGTACGTTCTTCCCAAATGTATAATCCCTGTTGTCATTGTATTTGATTCTGGTGTCCTTTATCTTGTAAATACATTTTTCTAATTTGGGGAGGGAAAGTGAAATAACCAAATGCTGAAATAAGGTTATAGATTGACCCACTGTAACAATGAGATGTACAAGACATTCTGCTGAAAATGAACTTTACAACTTTGGAGGGGAGGGAGGAGTTGAGGAGGTGGGAGGTAAGGGAGGGTAGGGGAAAACAGGAGGGGGTAACAATGCTCAATAGGAAATGGACTCATTACTTTGTTTATGTAACTGTAACCCTTCTGTACAGTATCTTTACAATAATATATATATATAAAGATAAAAGTCCTTAATACATCATACTTTGTTCCTCTATGGTTGGCTATACCTTCCAATTTATTTGTGTTTCATCATTCTTTAATTTTGGTAAGTAGAAGTTTGTGCATTAAATATATATAACATTATCTCTTATAAGTTTATCACATTTATAATCTGTTAAAACATGAACATTTTTATATGTCACATTTCAAAAGTCTATATTTGATAAGGAAACATTACTTATTGTTGCAAATATTCTGACTTAGTGGGTTCGATACTATTTCTATATAATTAAGACATATCGACACAACTGCACTCATTTCTTGCCTCTTCTAGTGTTCATTACATGTTTCTTTTGATATTATTAATTCATTAATGCATGCTTCAATTCAAGGCTTACACTGTGCCAGGCACCGGTGGCAAAAGTCCTGCAATCCTAGCTACTCAGGAGGCTGAGATCTGAGGATCGTGATTCAAAGCCAGCCCAGGCAGGAAAGTCAGTGAAACTCATCTCCAATAAACCAGAAGTGGCATTGTAGCTCAAGTGGTAGAGTGCTATCCTTGATCTAAGGGACCGTGCTCAGGCCCAGAGTTCAAGCCCCATGACGAACAAAAATAAATAAATAAATAAAAAAGGGAGTACCATCATGGCTTTTCTGCAAAGACTGGGATTGAATCCTGATCCTCAAATCTCAGGCACCTGAGTAGCTAAGAGTTACAGGCATGAGACACCAGCCACCAGCTCTTACATATTTTAAAGATGTACTCAATAGTATTCCTTTCTAGAATTTCATTGCAATTTTAAGTGAACTTACACAATATTTACACTCTGAAATGTATAGGCATGGATGAATGGATGTATTGAAAGATGGATGGATGGATGGGAGGTATGGAAGATTAATGCGAGTGAGAGAAGTTTGTGATTAAATGGATGAAGGACATATGCAACGAAAGGAAGGAGTGTAAAAATTTTACTGATTTTTTCAAAGGTTTCTGTAAATTCTAACAAAACATTATGTCTAATGTATGAAAAAATAATAACGGAGTTCCTTGAAACTGGTTTGAAACGAGGAATGAGTGAATGTTATAAAAGTCACAAACATGTATAAAATATCATTGTGAATCCCATTTTTGCAAATACACATTAATAAAAATAAATGAAAATATAAAAATGAAACTTTAAGATCCTTCAACTTCGAAGAGTTAAACAATATTTTCTCTGTGCCCCGAAGTTACTGGAGGACAAAGAGCTTTCCTCATTCCTCCCCTCAATCTAGCACCAGGACTAATGACTGAAATAAATTCTTCCTTACTTACAACTTGAACTTTTTCACTCATCTCTATTTTCTTTTTCTTCTTTATTGAGATTAATTATATAACTTTCACAGTAATGTGGTGTAGTGATACTTAGCTAAAGTCACTAACACATTTTAACCTTCACAATGCAACTTGTCATCGTCTTCATCTACAAAGTTTATGAACTCTACAGACTTTAACAATAAAAGCATTTCTTCCAAACTAGGTGATTTGTACATTTCTTTCCATTTGCTTAGTGTCAGCTGTTTCCTTTCTCTCTGTCATCTTTCCCTCCCATCGCCACCCTTGAGTTGCTTAGTTCACTTTCATCAATGTGCAGAGCAGCTGATGGGCCACTCTGATGTATTTTTTCACCTGTTTGCCTCTAGTTCTGGGCCCTCCTACTAGTTTCCCTCAAATGTGTACATCTATACACCATATATGGGTTAAGAACATAGAGTCATCTAGAAACTACATGACAAATTAAGAAGAGGTCCTTTGTTTCTTTGGTCCTATTTAATCATCTGTTTTCCACATTTATAATGCCTTTCATTCTATTTCAGTCACTACATTGAATATTCAATTGAATTTATCATACCAAACTTGCTTTACAGAAGAAAAGGTAAATGTTTTCCATCCTTTTATACATAATTCAATATAGCCTGGAATAAACGGCATGAATGTAAAAACCTTTCTTAGCATATTCTAGAGACTTTGGGGTAAATATCTTAAAATAATTTACATGTCCTGTAAGATTCAGATCAAGAGAAGAAACTTGTCCCATTACTGGAAAGAGATTTTGTTTCAGGACAGAAAACTACTCTCCATGAGCGCTTTCACTGTCAATATGTACTTCTCCACCGACATCTTCTCTACTCATTCACAAAGCTGTTGAGCAATAACAAGGCTGAATTTAACAAGGAGAGAGAATTCACCTTAACCAGAAATGCCAGTGTGAATCACTGAAACTTTCTGTCATGGGTTCCCTAATCTAAACCAGATACACTGGAAGAGTGAACTAAGAAACAAGGAATCTCATTATGGTTTTCATTTGCATTTCTTTTATGGTTAGAGAGGTTGAGCTTTTCTTCATGTGTCTATTGGCCATTCTTCTTTCCTCTTCAGAGAAGTTTTTCTTTAAGTCTTTAGCCCACTTATTTATCAGGCAGTTTTTTCTTTGAGGATTTGTTGTTGGGGGATTTAATTTTTTTGTGTCCCAAGTATATTTTATTTTATTTTTTTTTGGTCTGGTTGTGGGGCCTGAACTCTGGGCCTGAGCACTGTCCCTCAGCCCTTCAGCTCAAGGCTAGTGCACTACCACTTGAGCCACAGCGCCACTTCCGGCTTTTTTCGTTTTTGCTTATGTGGTGCTGAGGAATTGAACCCAGGGCCTCAGGCATGCAAGGCAAGCGCTCTGCCACTGAGCCAACTTCCCAGCCCCCAAGTATATTTTAGATAAGAGACCCTTATCAGTTGTATGGCTAGTGAAGATCTTCTCCCAATCTGTGGGCTTTCTATTGATCTTGCTAACTATGTCGTTTGCCATGCAGAAGCTCTGCAGCTTCATACAATCCCATTTGTCCAACTTTTTTTGATTTGTTGTGTTTCTGAGTCTCTACTGAGAAAAATTTGGCCTGTGCCAAGGAGAACTAGGGTTTCTCCTATTCCATCCTGTAAAGTTTTCAGAGTGTCTGCTTTGACTCGGAGGACTTTGATCGATTTGGAGTTGATTCTGGTGCAGGGTGATATATAAGGATCTAACTTTAGTTTCTACAGGTGATTAACAATTTTTGCCAGCACCATTTACTGAAGAGGATGTCATTCTTCCATTCTATTTTTAACTCCCTTATCGAAAATTAGGTGGCTGTAAGTTTGTGGGTTCATTTCTGGGTTTTCAGTTCTATTCTATTGGTCCTCATGTCTGTTCTTGTGCCAATACAAAGCTGTTTTGATTACTATGGCCAGGTAGTTGAGTTTGAGATTTGGTATTTATATTCCTTCAGCTCTATTCTTTCCATTCACCATTTGGGTAATTATATTCCTTCAGTTCTTTCTGTTTTCACTATTCGGGTCTTTTATTGTTCCATATGAATTTTTGGATTGCTTCTTCTATTGAAGAATGAGGTTGGAATATTGATAGGTATCACATTGAATTTGTAGATAGCCTTGGGAAGAATTGCCATTTTCACGATGTTGATCTTTCCAATCCAGGAGCATGGAAGGTTTTTCCACTTCCTAAGTTCTGCTTTGATTTCCTTTTTCACGTTTTTAAAGTTTTCATCAGAGTAGTCATTCACCTCTT